ACATACATACATACATACATACATACATACATACATACATACATACATACATACATACATACATACATACACCATGGGGCTGACACCCATATCCAATAAAATAATAAAAAATAATATAAAATGACAAGTATTTTTTATACACTAGTGACAATGTTTTGTGCATGAAGTACTTGTATCAATATAACAATATGTTGTTCATGTAAAGTATTGTGTACATTATATTTTAAAAATACAAATGGCAATTTGGAACCTCATAAAATCCCCTTCCTCTTTTTTTCACTACTTCTTTTTAAAGTTATTAGGAATTGTTTTTCTAATTAGGATACATGTGTCATACCTCTGTTACAGGTTGTGCATTTCTCACCTACTGCGCCCGCGAGTCAGCCATCAAGGCCCAGAATGCCCTTCATGAGCAGAAAACACTGCCAGGGGTAAGTATCTGTCTTTATTCCCCCTCTCTTTTTGACTCTTCTTTTCCCCCTCCATGGTGGTCAGCCATGCCATCTGCACCGAGCTGTGCACCAGCCGACATTTTGTTTCTTACAGTCCCAGAGATGAAAAAACACTTTGGAAAGCTTTTCAATCAATAGTGCAGCCCTTTGAAGGCTGGGTTTCAACTTTTTCATGTGTCTGTTCTCAAGGGGATATTTTGAAACATTGATTGGACCTTTTCTGTCTCGTACCTTTTAACCAACAGCAGAGGATGACGTAAATATAGAAAGCCTTGCATTTCTGTTAAGCTGAACAGAGGAAAGAGAGTTTAACCTTTGAGTTATCATTCATCTGTATGTAATATTTTCACAAACTGTTTCTGTTTTGACACCTGCATTGTGAACCTGAATCTCTGTGAGATTCTAACACTGATTAAGGCTTTGGCAGCAATAAATAGAGGGAAGGTGAGTGAGTAACGACTCCACAGTGGCAGCATGGCTTAATGTGGTCAGACCAAGTTGTATCAATAAAGATTTATATACTCCAGCATCCACAACATCACTTAAGAGGAAGACTAAAACCCTGGCTATCTCAGCCAACAGGCACTTGTTTGAGATTAAAAAGGCAAATTTACCTACCAACTTTTAACAATCTTCTACTTGTTTCATGTATCTTGCTAATTAGCCAAGTGTGAGGCTAGAGGGCATTTCTTTGCCTTTATGCACAGCATTTGATTAATTAAAAGAAAGACAGTGGAAATGGGAGAATGGAAACATTCTACTTTTCTGATTGTGAATGTTACAACTTATTTGATTGGATTATAAATTGAAATCAAGACAGCATCTATGCATAAATTAGAACCAGGGATAAAACCCTTTGCCGCTCAATCTCCTAAGGCAGGGATACTCATTGTGCGGCTCCCGAGCCACATGCGGCTCGCCATGCTTTATTGGTGGCTCTCGTGACAGGTTACAACAATACGCCAGCACAGCCAATACATTTTTAAAACGTGCTAGTACATTGTGTAATATTTGCGCATGTCGGCTCGGGCTTCTTTGATGCAGTTTTACGAATAATAATGTGTTAATCTACTTGTTGAGGAGGAGACAGGTCTGACCGGCTGGTAGAGGTAAAAAAAAAAGTCCTGCTAAGCTTCAGATGGATCAGCTGATCATCACTGGCCGTGCATGGCTGCTGACCCGTGAAAAGACGTAAAAATGCCCTGTAATCTCAGATGAACCAGCTGATCATCACCGGCCACGCACATCCGCTGACCCGCCAAAAGACGTAAAAAAAAAAAAAAAAGTCCTGCTAAGCTTCATATGGATCAGCTGATCATCACCGGCCACGCACATCCGCTGACCCGCCAAAAGACGTAAAAAATGTCCTGTTAATCTCAGATGGATCAGATACCGGCAGCACGCGTCTCCGCATCTGCTGTCATCTGTGGTGAAGGAAGTAGGAGCATCTTCCAGGGCCGGTTCTAGGCATAGTTACATGAGGGGGCAGGCGGTAATATGAAGGGGGTATCTTCATCCATACACATATTACAGCATATTCATTTTTGAGCATGGATTTTGGTATTCATTGTTATTGCTGACTTGTGTTTTTTTCATGGGATTGTGGTAATAGCTAAAAGCTGAAATTTTTACACCTGTGAGTCAACATTTTCAACATGAACACTATGAAGCAAAAACAGAGAAACTGACTGACCCATGCCCATCTTGAATGCCTCACTGTGGTTGCAACAACAAATTACAAATACAACATAAAGAAAGTCAAGGACATGCACCACAGCTTCCGCTCATCTCAGTACTAAGGTACATTTTGTTTAAACAGATAATGTGCTGGATGTGTTTCATTTTGTTCATAGGTGGGTTGTTTAATTTATTTTATTTTATTTGAGTGACTTGGGGTGATATTGTGGCTCTCCCCTTGATTTTGATCTGTCAATATGGCTGTTTTGAAAAAAATAGTGAGGATCACTGTCCTAAGGTATTGTTCAAGCCACCTGGAGTATTTCCCGAAGTACTTTGTAAAACAATAAGCTGCAGAACACTTTGTAGAAACTGTTTGTTCACAAAACTGTTTCTATTTAGCTTTTAGTACAAGTTCAAATTAAAGGTTCTTTATTGTCATTCACATCACATGTGATACATGAGGTGGAATGAAATTGTGTACTCAAGGTCGCAGTTACCCCCAAAAATAGCAAAAATATAAAGTATGAAAAGAAACCGTGTATGAGGATCCAAACTATACGCTAAACACTAATAATGTAAAATAATATGTTATATTAAACAGCATCCTGAACATGAGTCTGTAGTGAGTAGATGGGTATGAATGAATACAGCAGCATGAGATAATCAGCAGCATGAGATCAGCAGCATGGATAACATGAAGGAAATGCATTCTGACATGATTGTACTATTGCTAGGCCTGATGTCAAAGGTCAACACCATAACTCTCAATTACTGAAAATAAACAACAACAAAACATAAATTTAGTGGGAGGAGGGAGCTTGTGTTTTAGCTCCTGAAAACCTGAAGAAAAAAATCCAGAGAAATGAACCCACAGGTTTATTTCAAGTACCAGTACAACAGTAGACATGAGGTTTTATTTTTCTACCACTGACCATTATGCCACTTTAGTGTTTGCATCTGCAGCGCAAAGGTAGCAAAATGAAAATACTTGAAATGTGTGTTTGGTTTCAGGGAGATTCTCAGTCTTTAACTGGCAAGAGTCACTGGTAACAGTTTTGTTTGATGTCACCTACAGCTTCCCATTACAAACAAAACAAAAATATAACTATAAAACAACAGTTGCCATGCACACAAAACCAATTTTAATTTTATTTTACTATACGACATAACGATCTCATTAGCTCATTTCACTTATTTTGATGAGTATCCTGGAGGTCGTGCGCAATATAATTTGAGGATCATAGTCTGCATACAGACATGGGCAAAAACAAATGGTCTTCATGAAAGATTTTATAAAGTATGAACAAAATTGTATGTACAAAATTATTATAAATTTTTTAGAAGAATGTGTATTCATTAACAGTAAAAGTTGCCATGCAAGTACTCAAAAGTTTCCTTCTTTCTTTCAGTTTTAAGTATCCCATTCTCCCCTGTCCATTCTGTCCTCCTGTCCTCCCCCCTTCTTTCTGCACCACTGTTGCTGTTCTTCCCGAGACCCAGCGTGTCATAGAAATGTAACAGCTAGACGTTGATGAATGTCAGGCTGAGGCTGCTCTGCTGTTCCTTTCCTTTCAACTTTACTCACACACACAAGCACAAACGCTCCAGGCTGCAGCCACACACAGAAACAAATTTTGTAGCTTGCCAGTGGCACTCACAATCCTATAGGACTATTTTACATGAAAATGGTGCAACACAATCTCTCAGTTTAAGGCAGGAGGACATTAGCAAGATAAAATAGAAAGAAAATAAACGCTCTTGTGTTAGTTTGTTAGGCTGTTTCTCATAGCTCATCATTTTCTACTGAACCTCTATGCTCTTAAAATCTTTGCAATATGACCCCTGTTGCTGCATGGTTTGACGGTAAGTAGTTTTGCCACTTGTTTGTTTGCAAATCCTGCTTGCTATGCACTTTGCCAGGGGCTATGGTTTAATTAATGTAAACTGGGAATTCTCCAGAGATATTATTTGAGTTATCAACATCTGCATTTTGTCATAAACCCCCATATTTCAGCCGTTTTGTTGAGGGTTTTCATCAGTGTTGTTAGTCATCTGTGTCTAACATCTAATTCTATTCATGCTGAACGATTATAATCCTGCTGGACTTTGTTCATAATGCAAATAGGTGACACAATATCTATAAAAATGTACTCCATTTCTGAGTCTTATGCAGAAGTCACAAACAAGCACCTCCACGTGCACAAATGAGAGCACGAACTTGGACATCAGCCTGCTCACATGTGAATTCCATGAGATAGACATTTCTGTATTTTTAGAAGAGTTTTCATTTGGAGGTTGCAAGTTCAAACCTTGTGTTTATTGTCATGTCCTTGAGCAAAGCACAACATTTTCGAAAGTCTACTCTCTTGTTTGGTTTTCTGTTGGTGCATAGCAAATATATAATTTATATCTTTAGTTACAAGAAGTTTAAGGGTTGATAGTTCAAAGTGGGACCACAATAATTTGAATAAACTTGAACACAGACAGTTTGGCTTCAGTGCTGCAGGAAGGAATGGAGCTTGCCACAATGTTTGAGCAGTCAAATATTGATTATCCTTTGTTCATCGTCGACTTTTGTTTTAAGATTTTGGGAAAAGTCCACATGCACTGATCTCAGTACTGTAAATACTTGTATGTTCACTTTGGAAGAGTTAATTCGCCAAAGCTTCTTCAAAACAATACAAAATGCAAAGTGAAGAAAGAGCAGATTCCCATCTCATTCATTATGGATTTTGATGAAAAACATGGCAGCACGGTGGCGCAGCTGGTAGAGCTGCTGCCTCTCAGCGAGCAGGTCCTTGGTTCAAACCCCGGTCCAGGGGCCTCTCTGGGTGGAGTTTGCATGTTCTCTCCGTGCATGCGTGGGTTTTCTCCGGGTGCTCCGGTTTCCTCCCACAGACCAAAAACATGCATGTTAGGCTGATTGGGAACTCTAAATTGTCCCTAGGTGTGAGTGAGAGAGTGAATGGTTGTTTGTCTCGTTTGTCTCTATGTGTCCCTGTGATGGACTTGCGACCCGTCCAGGGTGTACCCCGCCCCTCGCACAGTGATTGCTGGACATGGGCACCAGCGACCCCCGTGACCCAAAATGGAATAAGCGGGTAAAGAAAATGGATGGATGGATGAAAAACATAAATAAAGAGCAGATATTTTTAGCAACTCTTGCTTTTATTTAGGCTGGTAGTTCCATTTCTGAAGCCTCTTTCACAAAACACTTTCAAATCAAGCCCACATCACCGGCTCTCTGCCCTGGTGTGATTTCTGAAACGACCCAAGGTGGCATGTAAGTGTTGAAGTTA